TTTTATATAATAATATTTAACAGATTTTATAATAAAATTTAAGTATAAAAACTAAAATAAAATTTTTTAAATCATAAATATTAAAAAAAAATCAATTTTAAATTTAAAAAATTAAAAATAAATTTATATTAAATTTAAAAAATTAAAAATATATTTAAACTCTATTTTAAATCTTAAAAGTCAAGCTCACCGAATAAACACAACAATATACATGCACGTACTCTCATGTGTTTGCCATACTTCGGAAGCGGATGTTAAATTAAGGGACTTCCTTTCCACTTTCATTATGATGTTTCTTGCTTTGTTTAAATCGGAAAGTTGCAAGTTCATTTTTACAAACTGTTAAATCCACTCTTATTAAACTATAACGAAAGATCACATTGATAAGTTTAAATTTCTCACCATAGTGACCAAACAATACAATTAGTTCATACCTTGAAATTATCTAAACAGTTAAACTTTCCGTATGCCTGCCTTGCCTTCGCTCTTGGAATTTTCAAGCCTCCAAGAGGACACCGAGGATCTTCCGCACCTAGAGTTCCCAGCACCCAATGCAAATACTTCAATTCCAAGTCAGCTAAAAAATATCCGCAATAGCTAAAAGAACGGAATAACTAATAAATTGACTAATACATGAAGAGGTCTACGATGTTATTGATATATCCTAAAGAAGCAAAAACCTTATGCTGCAGCAACTGGTTTCCCTGAGTTGCCATTTTGTCAACACATGAAGTTGTATATGTGAATAAGGTAGCCAGATTCAATTTGAAAATGTTTAATGTACAATACATATAAGGGTCTTACCATTAAGAATAAGCAAAGGACGTGGTGCGATAGTTGGAATTGAATAGGGTGAATCAAATTGGGAAGCTAAACCAGGAGCAATTCTATCCCACACCTGATCAGAAATATAAAATTAATTTTGATATTAGCATATAGTATCACTGCAAACACTATAGAATAACGAGAACAAAGCTCTAGATGGAAATTAATTGTGCCCAGTGGGTGAACATAACTAGCAAATAGTAATTATGGGATGCTTATCATGCTACCTACCATTGTCAATCATGTTATGTAAAAGCAATAAACCAAAGCATATAGCAATTCATTTTGGAGACAGAATCATAGTTGGATTAATAAAAATTGGCTGACCTTCTTCACCACTTCTTTGTCAATAGCACCTTTACCCAAATCATCACGAGCCACTGCATCCATGAAATAAGAGCATTATGGATGTATACACCGAAGTATCTTCAGAATATATGTTCAGTTTTCCACTGTTAGCATGCTTGAATGACTATTACCCCACAGGACCAAGATTCATATCATATTTTCTCTTCTAGGTCTTACTCAAACAACGTTGACTTCACAATGTAATTACTGGATTTATATGAATAAGAATTCCAATATTATATAAACCAAAATAAAGTACAAGGCTAAGTAACTAAAGCAAAGATAAGAAAACAGGTAAAACATGAAAGAAGTTTCAGTAACTCATTTGACATTATCTTACCCTCAAAAAGAGGCTTTATACTATCAACTCGACCCTGCCATTTATCGTTGTCTATAGCCCATCGAAATCCCTGCAAGCATTTTGCACCGAAGTTTTCAAATTGTTGTTTCAGGAACATATAAATAAAAGCTTCACTCAATCATTCAATGCCAGTACCTGAACGCCAATCAGAGGAACAACTACAGCATAGCGAGTATCAGCAACTGCAGCAAACCATGCATCCATTCCTGCATCAAGGAATATATTATATATACAAGTGGCTAGTCACATCAAACATATATGCCAGCCTTTCAACTTCTCTCAACCAACCTCCAAGTGATATTCCAGTGATTCCTATCCTAGCAGAGTCTATATCCTTTCTCCGTGCTAGATAATCTGCTAATTTAATCAAGTCCCAGACCTGCCAGAAAGGAATAATACACCATTTTCTGAACGAAAGTAATCATAAAGTGTAAATTGCTGCCATAATCACAGTTCAAACAAATCATGTGGAGCAAGTGGCTCCATCTTAACTATATGGTAAAGCTGCGTGATAAATAATAAGTTACCGTGTCATATATGAAAGGCATCGTCTCACCGGTTTTCCATGCAGAAATAAGTGCCTGTGTATTTTTTTTAGGGGAGGTTGGTGTCAAGTACAAAAGTAAAAACGAAAACAAGATCAGTTTTGCATTTTATATTGACTTATTTTTCACTTTCTGAATGATCTTGGGTAAGGTCAATACGAACAGAAAAACAATAAATTTTTAAGACAAATTATTTCACCTAAAGCAAAACCTAGATATATTATTCCGGACAAATTAATTACATGCACTGTGTGTTCAGAACCACTAAAATACGAATTTGATTAGATATAGTAATCAAATTATTATGTTTGGAATTCATTAAATTTAATTAGTTGAATGAATTTACAAGCAAAATTATATGGTAGAACTTACAATTCATTTTATTTAAGGGCATGTTATAAATTGATGCACAGCACAAGTAGAACAATGCAAGAGAAATAATTAAGACACAATACAACACCTTTTGTCTTATATGTTGTGTGGCGCGGTGAATGCATGCCCAACATAAAATAAAATAAAAAAAAAGGTCGCATATTATTTTATATGTAGTTATTAGTTAGAATAAAGCACTAGTAATTTATATTTTTTAATTAAATTGTTTAGACTATTTATTATTAAAGATACTTTTTGCATTGTACAATATTTTATTTGCATTTAGAAAATGCACAAATCACAGTATTTTTTTATAACTTTAAATAATTTTATTATTTATTGTTAAATTATTATGATATAGTTCTATTTATTATTTTTTTTTTATCAATAATGTGTATCTAAAAGTATTGTTTTATATTTCATTTTTCATGCAGGAAAATTACAAATGTTCCATGAGAACGTGCATGGCTTATTGATAATGAAGATAATTAAGCTGAGTTGTTCTGGATCCTTGTCGTTTCGTTAACCCGACCTCAAAAGGATTTTCGAGAGATTCCCAAGTTTATACTAATTAATTTTGTCCATGTCATGTATTATTTGATATATATATATATATATATATATATATATATA